TCTCCATCTTGGAGGCATCCAGATGTCCATCGACCATCAGGATATACAATGCCATGTGGTCGGCATTTGTCAGGTGGTGCGAAGCAGCGTCTATAGTTCTAGTGGACGCCTCTGTACCTCGGGTTTTAGATTTTTTGCAAGACGGTTTAGACGGGCCTTGCCCACAATACTTTGCGCCAACAAATTGCTTTGCTTTCTACCATTCTACTGGGGGAGGGTCAGGTTCCTTTGTCACACCTACCTATAATCAAGAGGTTCTTGAAAGGGGCAGCCAGTCTTGTCCCTCCTGTTAGACCCTTCCTCCCCAAAGTTAATACTCCCTTTCACAGGGCGCAGGAGGTATTACTCAACTTTTGCCCAGCTCCCCCCCACACTAGGGAATGTCTCTACCACAGGCTGGGTGTACATAGGGCACTGAGATTTTATCTCAGACAAACGGCCTTGTTTCATAAGTCGGAAGCATTGCTGGTGTCTTTCCAACCAGCCACTCAAGGTGCTAGAGTAACCCCGAACACAATAGGCAGATGGCTGTGGAAAGCTATTTCTTTGGCCTACAAAGTCAGATGCAAGGTTCCTACTCAGGGCATTACTGTGCATTCTACCTGCAGTGTGGCCCCCATGGAGGCATGGGTGACTAGAGCACCATTTGAAGATATCTGTAGGGCTGCCCCCTGGGCATCCCCTACTTCCTTTATTCGACACTACAGAATGGACGCTTATTTGTCGGCTGAAGCATCCTTTGGACGTAGAGTGTTGCAGCAGATAGTGGCTCCCGCAGCCGCTATGGAATCATAAATTATCTCCCTCCCTAGGGACCGTAGCTTGGGTAGGTCCCGATGGTAGCACCTCCTGCTCCCCATCATTGAGAACGATTGTTGGTATTTTCCTGAACGTTGATTCTAATGATGGGAGCGGGAGGTGCTACCTCCCACCCTATTTAGAATAGCGGTGAGGGAGGGGGTATCCTTGTGACCTTTATTATAGGACTTTACTCCCTATGACCCCGAGGAACTGGGCAGAAGGAATAGAGGCATGGCTGCAACATTTTCTCTGTCTATGGACCAATCAGGATTGACGACAGCCCAATGGTAGTACCTCCCACTCCCATCATTACAATCGACGTTCAGATAAATGCCAACTATCATTTTCTCCTTCCCTCTGTTGCTCTGTCCAAGCATTCAAAGACCAAAAGAGCAAGGAAAAGAAGCCGCCTTCATTTGATGTGAACTAAACAAAGAAACAGTTGAATGGGCAGTCGTAATTGTGGTCGCCATTGTTGATTTTAATTCTGCATTAGCTCTAACTGTGATTAGGAGTAAGGCTTATATTTCATCAAATTTTGAATTACTATTTAAAGCAATTTATAAGGATACTCGCAAGCATGGATAATAAAACCAAAATATATTTTTATATATAATTATAATTATTTAAACATTTTTAATAAATCAATGAAATTTCAGGACTTCTCCTGAGTTAGTTGAGTTAGGCCTTATTTACAGCAATCTTTAAGGAGGTTGTTAAGCAAATTACCCAACTGTTAAACTAGCTTCCTCTGTGGACTTTTTTGCTGTCTTTTTTTGCCTGAAATTGTAAAAAGAAATTGTTACAAATCAGAATCATAAAGCCACAGGATGCTGCAACCAATCATAGATCTATAGCAATGGCACTTAGACTTATATACCACTTTATAGTACTTTACAGACTTCTATAAGCAGTTTATCAAGTCAGCATATTACCCCCAACAATCTTGGTCCTCATTTTACCAACCTTAAAAGGCTGAGTCAATCTTGAGCCAGTGAGGATTGAATTCCTGGCAGTAAGCGGAATTAGCCTGCAATGCCGCATTCTAACCACTGCACTACTATGGCTCTAAATCAATTGCAATTCAATTGCTGCCAAGCATCTGAATTGCAATCACAAGATCATAATGGTCATAAATGTGAGTACAGATCATAAGGCTGTTGTAACTTTAAACTGTCTTTAAAGCAGGGGTGACAGGTTCTGGAGAACCAGTAGCAGAAATTTTGAGTAGTTTGGAGAACCGGCAAATACCACCTCTGGCTGGCCCCAGAGTGGGGTGGGAATGGAGATTTTGCAATATCCTTCTCTGGAATGGGGAGGGAATGGAGATTTTGCAGTATCCTTCCCCTGCCACGCCAGCAGAACCAGTAGTAAAAAAAATTGAATTTCACCACTGCTTTAAAGGTCATAAGTTGAGAACTACCTGCACCATTTCCTACTGTGGCTCTTAAAAGCAAAGAAAATATTACAAAATGCAACAAGACTTTTTTCAAAAAGGAATGTCTTGTGCACTGCAGCAGTTTTCTACTAATACTGCCATAATTTGATAGCTATCCTCCAGGATATAGCAGATAGTGCTGACTAACTTGGGATCTCTTAAGGAAAGATCTATGGGTAAAGTGGCAATACAAAATATCCATCTTGCAACATTCACTTTTGCAACAGTTAAAATTAGCTGGAGAATAGTTGAGAATGTTTGCAATTCCCATTCCTATTGTGGCGCCATATTTCAAAGAACCTTGATCTTTTGGGAAAAAAATAGATTTTTAAAAGCTTTCAAGACTTTACAAATAAAAGTATCAATTAATTTGAAATTTGGGTCTAATTTGCAGATTGTAAAAATTACTTTAAATGCTATTTCTTTGGTTCCAGATTCCAAGTAACTTCCTTTTTCCTTCCTTTTTCAGCAATATCTTGAATCAGGTACCCAAACAGGCTATGGAGTTTGAAGACAATTTCTGATAGCTGCCATCACATCACTTCTGTAAAATAAGATTTGCTAGCCTTTAATGCCATCAAAAACAGATGAGGTAAAGTACATGAATATGCAGCCTACTTATCTGCTGATACCTAATATTCTTCCTTCAAACCACATTGTTAGAATACCCTTGACAGAATTTATTATTTAAGAAAAACTGCTTTTAAAATCTTGTAAATCTTCAAATTTGAAGCCAAATGTAAAGTCATTCAGACCTTTCAGCCTGTCTCTATGGCCTTAGAAGTTTCTAGTTTAGAGCTGTACAACTTTTTTTCCCTATTGAATCTGTGTGCCTTTGAGTAATCACTCTGGAGCTATATTCTAAAAAGTGGTTACAATTGAAATAAAGACAATTCAAAGACAATGAAATTAATACAGTTTCATTTAAATGTAACTGAACTGAATTATTTTAATATGATTAAGGCTAGATATTTAATGATTTTTTGCTTGGTGACTGAAACTTTACAATATGATAACAATTTGAGAAGGGTTTGAAGGTTGTCTTCAAATCTGTTTAGAAACATCTGTATCCCTGGGGCCATAATGCACTTTTACTATAAAACCTTTATTACTGTGATGACCAAGGGCACCATTGTGTTCAACAAGTGTTATATCTATGCCATCTATAAAGCAACTTTTAAAAAAATCACGTGGCTGCACCATTTTTAAGGTCCTGGATGGCTACTTCATAAGCTGCTTCCTGATATTCTTGTTAATTTCCACTATTTAATACTAGTGCCACTGTTATGAATTAGGCAAGTTAATTGTAATCCTAAATCAAAGAAAATGTTTACAATGATTATACTTCTTAGTTTTTTGGTGAAATGAAGTGGAGTATCTGTGCTCTTAGTTTCTCAGTTCTCAGTTTACTGTTGCCAGGTTTCTACTTTATTTTAGAATATGAATGCTTCTAGATCATAGAACCTTTGGCTTTCATATATGAAAATGTCACATGTAATTTCTCACTATTGTATGTTTATATAATAAGCTTTAAAAAAGAAATGGAATGCATTTTAAAACAAACAGGCATATGATAAAACTAAATAGAAGCTAAATTGGCTTTGAAATAATGTAGCTTGAAACAGATAACTATTTGATGTACAGAAAATGGTTGCTAGGTGTGACTGTCAATAGCTGTGACTATAATGAGTTATGAATATCTCCATGGAAGAGGAGGATGAGGGGGCAGAAGCAGAGGACTCCTCAACAGAACAAAATGATTAGGAACACAGAAAAGAGCTGTGCCAAGTTTCCACAGTTCAATTTAACTGTTTATTTTACCAGTAGTTTTCTAGAGGATCAAGAATTTCATGATTTGAATCTGTAAAGGCCTTGTAATGCAGTCCTATCCTGAAATAAATTCCATTGTGTTTAATGCATTTTATGTGGGAGTGTGTATTAAACTGCCTTAACAATTTTTACAACGTGTAATAAATTAGGTGTATATTATAGAAGCTATGCTGCTGTTATGCTACATAGGGTGAAACATTGGCTCAAGGGCCAAATAAGAGGAATAAGGAGCATGCAAAACAGCCCCAGTGATTGGCATACAGAATGAAACTTCTAGATTGCTTCAGAATCCTATAAATACCAAATCTCTGGAGTTACTTCTTTAGTTGTGCTGTTACAGAGACAAATTTCAGGCATGGTTCAGCAACAGTTTCTCTAGGTTACTTTTATTTAGTTTACTGCTATAATCTAGATGAAGAAGTACTTCTTGAATTTTAAGACTGTGATTTCATTACGGAGCCTTTGTTTATTATGGAGATTCTCACACAGATAGTGCCAGCAGCCCTTACATGAGCAATATAGAATGTTCAGAAGAGATAAACTCCTCCCATCTTTGAAAGGAGAAAGAAAGGAGCTAACTATTTTGAATGATCTAAATGTAAAGTTCAGATATGAAACCAGAAATACTTGTTGGGATTCTTGTGTGATCATATTAAAATTTGGTTTAATGAATCTTATTAATCTGAATTTAGATTATTTCCTGAAATATATTGATTATTGGTAGAAGGCCCTGATAGCAGTAAAGGAGAAATATATTCTTCATAATTTTGTTTGTTGATTTTTTTAATGAATCTAGCTCCCCCCCCCCCAAAAAAAAAAATCAGGGATGCAATAGACCTCTTACATTGCAGAGTCTAGGGTAGCAAGATTTGAGAAATCTCTTCTAGTTGCATATAGTTTAAATATCAGATTTGGTATTATTTTATTTTTATTTAAATCAATTTATTTTACAATATTTCATATTTTTAGTGTTACAATAGTCAAAAATCTGAGTTTTCTTCTTTGTATTGCTTCAGGGTTTGTGAAATACTGAACGTAGACCAGAGATTAGAAATCAGGTCCTTATATAAATATTTTTTTATTTTTTAAATTCACTTTGTAGAAATAATCAGTAATAGACTCAACAGGATATACATTAGATCGTTCTCTTCAAGAAGTAATCAAGTGTAGAAGTAGCTCTTGGTTTAACAACAGCAATTGGGACTAGAATTGCCATCAATGACAACATAGTTGTAAAGCATGATGTCATGTGACTTCACCATCTAGAAATGACAACTTCAGCAAGCATGAGAGCCATTATTAAGCAAATCATCACAGGTTATTAACTAAGGCTATCACATGGTTGCCAGACCACTTTTTACTAGCTTTGCCATTGACTTTGTCAGAAGCCAGCAAAGAAAATCACAAATGGTGACCATGTGATTGCATGTTGCTGTAACATCATAATCACGAGCCAGGTGTAGAGCACAGAGATAGTAATCACATGTCTACAGGGACTTTGCAATAGCTAGAACTCTTTTAAGTTTCTATCATAGTGCCACTCATTCAGCACTTCACAAATTTGAACAGGTGGTTTGAAAAACCACCTGTAAAATAAAGTTAGGTTCTTTGTTCAATTCCTTGCGGAGTATCAGTCTTTCAAGGTAAACTAGACCAGGAAACCCATGTCATGTAGTTCAGTACTACCTTATTGTAAAATTATAGTAAGAGAATATTGAAAGTATGCATGTACAGTTTAGAGAAGACTTATCTTCCAAATTACTGCTTGGGAAGGAAAAGAGCTGAGGCACGGCAATCCACTCTGCCGCGCGACTCAGCTGAGAGGATAAAGGTAGGTAAAGCGCAGGGGAGGGTGGGCGGGCCAACTTGCTAGTGGGAGTGAACCGGTTCGCTCCCAGCTGATCTTTGGAGCTAAGGGTTCGGCTGAACCGGTAGAATCCCACTCCTGGCAAATATGTATACTTAAAATAAATGTTAAAATTTCTTATCCCAATCTTGATTTGAAGCAATTTTGAGCAGCATCTTATTCTGATCTGGCAGAAAAGAACAATAATTTCAGGCAAACGTAATCAGTGGTTTGATAGAATGTGCTTGGATTTAAGTTATTTAGATCTGAGCCAAGGTAGTACAGTGGTTAGAGTTATTTCAGCTGACTGCTAGCTGCAATTTGGCAGTTCAAATCTCATCGGCTCCAGGTTGACTCAGCCTTCCATCCTTCTGAGGTGGATAAAATGAGGACCCAGATTGTTGGCGGCAATATGCTGACTTTGTAAACCGTTTAGAGAGGGCTGTAAAAGCACTATGAAGCAGTATATAAGTCTTATTGCTATTGCTATTATGGAATATATGGGTATTTGAAATTTATTTATTAAATTTATATGCTATCCAAAGCAATTTGGAACAGCTAGTAATATTATTTTATTAGTAATTATTCAATCAGATGTCTGTTCTTATTTTGCAAAGAACTGCAAATAATTCTTTACTGGGAATAATTATTGACTCAAAGATTACATTCAGTAATCTAAAATTGTTTGGGTCTGCTGCCCTCTTGATTCTGCATAGATCATCTTTGATGGCACTTACTTGTTTTCTGGGACCATAGTAAGATATATATTTGGGTTGTCTTTTCTGCCCATTATATAAATTAACAGATACATATTGACTTACTCAAGAGCTTAAAGTTCTTGGTGAAGCTAGACTAGAATTGTTAAATTGGGTTCCTACTCCATTACTTCTTCTGAATCTCAGATTGGATGCTTGGGGGAAGTGCAGAACCAATATTAAAATTGAAACTGAGTCAAATAGTTCATACATGAACAGTGCCTCCATTGTTTTGGGATTCAGTTTTAGCTTGTTTGATCCATCCAACCCCTCAAAAATAGGAAAGGCTTCTCTGCATCTTCAGTAAGGCTCATACTGATATACCTTTAATTAGTGGATAACCTCTCCCAATGTTTTTACCTTCAGTTTAAATAAAATGAGCTTGCCGAATCCTATGGTGTCCCAAAATGGAGCAGTCATGGGTTCACCTGTTCATAACTTCAAAGCTCCAAAACTTCAGAAAGGAAGGGAGCCATCATGTTTGCCACCCCCAATCCTTACAGTAGTCCATTGTAGATGTTTGAATGCCACTGATGTCTAAGATCAGGATGGGTGAACTCCCTCCCTCCAGTTCCTCCTAGCTTCTCCCTTCCAGATTTCTTCCCTAAATTTCCAGCCAATGCCCTGACTGAATCCTAGATTTTAAAAAATTAGGGTTGTCTGCAGTTGACATCTTTCCAGTTTCCCGGAAATATCCCCAGAAAAGGGAGATTAGAGTCTGGGCAGAAATTGCCTAATAAGGTTTATTTAGAAATGGCCACTTCAGAAGTAAGCACATCTTCAAGGCAGCTGTTACCACCACCTCTCCCAAAAGGTATTAATCATCTGTCAAGTCTATCTAGACACATGCAGAGACCACCCACACTGCCTAAAGGAGCTAGTAAGGCATGGATACAACCAGTGAGTGGGAGAGTTGGGTTTGTTTTGTAACATCTTGTATTCTTTGGTTAGATTTCTATTAGGGATAGTCTGGAGCAGAGATACCCAACCCCCAGGCTCCAGTCCAGTACTGAGCATGGCCTATTTAGCCACCCCCACGTTGCAGCCCAGTATATGGCCTATTTAGAACTGGACCGCAAATGGCAGGCTGACGCACATGCGTGCACGTCAACGACTGCCACTTGTGCGGCCTGGTTCCTCCCCCCCCCCCTTTCTGGGCTG